AAGGAGGGATTAAACAGGACAACGATTCTTGAAATTCTTGTTGCATGGCATAGAAGTGTATCAGCACACGAACATACATGCTGCAGGAGATCGCAGATTGTGGAGAGGCATGATTGCCCACGCCAATCGGCAAGGCACCTGATGATGATGATGATGATTTCCTGCCATGACTTTATTCTGACATTCAGCTGGCAAACAGACAAGAGCTCAGTTTCGCTGTCTGCAATAAAAGCCCACAAATTGTACAAGGAAATTCTAATTCGAAAACAAATGCATGAGGAAAATAATGAACATAAAATAGAATGAATACAAGAGGAGAGAAGAATTAGGAAAAATGATTGGACACGCATTATCATCAACAGTTATAGGGCAAAGAAAGAGGCTCAGTATACTGACCACGTCTTGAGAAAAGTTAGTTAAATCATTAGTTAATGGACAGATTATCTTTATTGCTCATCGAACCATTCAGACCACAAGTGTTCAGATCCCTTCCTTAGTAAATCCTGCAACGTGTAGCGGCTAACTACGCCCGTTCTGTGTTGGTTTTTTATTCTTCTGTGGCTTCCTGCATAGTGCTCTTGTCAGGCCACACCCTTTTCAACATGATTTGCTTGCAGCCTGGTCATGGTTGAAGTCTCACAGTCATCACCTGGTTCTCGAAAACGTTTTACTTCTCGTAGCGCATTCAGTATATCAGCCTGGTCCATGGCACGTCCGCCCACCACGGTAGTTTCATCTGCAAGACTTTCAGCTTGCTCATTTCCTTGGACAACTGTCAGCTTGCCCATTTCCTTGCAGGCCTGTGTGCCCTGGCACGAAAATGACAATGATATGCGTCAGCCCCGAACGCCACAGAGACTCCAACCACTATGTTCGGACCCAGCCCATCTCTGTTTTCCTGTGCATGTTCATTGAGTCACGGAAAGAAGAAAAAAAAAAAACATTGCCTTCAAACAAAACATCATTGTTCAAACCAAAACCACATTGCCATCAAACAAAACATGATTGTTCAAACCAAAACCACATTGCCATCAAACAAAACATGATTGTTCAAACCAAAACCACATTGCCATCAAACAAAACATGATTGTTCAAACCAAAACCACAATGCCATCAAACAAAACATGATTGTTCAAAAACCACATTGTCTTTAAACAAAACATGGTTGTTCAAACCAAAAACACATTGCCTTCAAACAAAACATGATTGTTCTAACCAAAACTACATTGCCTTTAAACAAAACATGATTGTTCAAACCAAAACCACATTGCCTTTAAACAAACCCACGTTGCCTTTAAACAAACTCACGTTGCCTAGAAACAAACCCAAACTGAATACAAACCCATACTGCCTACTATATAAAAAAAAAACCTTACCCAAAAAAAAAAAACACACATATTGCCTGCAAACAATCCCCTATTACCTGCAGGCAACAAACAAAAGCGTGACTGGAAGCAACACAAAACTGACCACAGTGGAACCTCGCTTAACGAGCATAATTCGTTCCAGAATCGTACTCGTTAAGCGAACCACTCGTTATGCGAAACAATTTTTCTCATACAAATTAATGTAAAATACGATAATACGTTCCATGTCGAAAAAAAAAATACTCACAAAATATTGTGTATAACGTTTATTCAAAGAAAATTATATACATATTGTTAAGGAGAGTGAATCATCTTCATCTTTTCTTCAAACGCGAAATGAAGCCACCTGGAATGCGAATTCGATTTACAGAAACAAAAGTCGAAATAATTATGACACATAGCTAATTATTATTATTTTTTTTTTTTACTAGAAAGATGTCCAGAGACATTTGTTTTTGCTGACGCTTCAAAATTTGGCGAAAATGCGACACAGCATTACCGTTAAATAAATTTGCAACGCGCATAGCCACTTCCTTATTAGGGTGATACTTCTCAATGTAAGATGCAACAGTTTCCCATGCTTTCAGCATTTCTTAAATTCGCCAGAAGATTGTTGCTTTTCTGTTACCTCCTCCTCCTCCTCTGACAAACTTTCCTCCAAATTTTTTTGCTGTGAAACACAATGCAACTCCATAAGCTCTTGGGTGGTCAGCTCTTGGTTGTGCTCTTCCACAAGCTTTTCGAGATCACTGTTATACACCTACAATCCCATGATAGTGGCCAAAAAACACAGTCTCGTTGACTACAGGTTCTACAGGTACTGTCTCGAACCCCTCAAAGTCACAAATCGACAACGCTCTCCGGCCAAAGCTTCTTCCAAACAGAAGTTAGAGTTCTCTTGGTAACCCCTTCCTCCGCCTTGTCGATTATCTTGAGGCAGGCAACGATGTGGAAGTTATTTTTCTAAAACTCTTTGAGAGTGAGGTTGGTCCCTTCAGTCACCTGAAAACAATGCTCGAAGAGTGCTTTAGTGTAGAGCTGCTTAAAGTTAGAAATAACTTGCTGGTCCATGGGCTGGAGTAACGGAGTGGTGTTGGGAGGCAGAAACGGAATCTTGGTCACAATATAACACAAAGTTGAGAAAATGTGTGATCACAAGCGACACTACGATGCTACTGGAACAAGTGCTAAACACAGACTGATGTAACATGCCCACAATCCGGGACTTCACCTCTCCTCGCCACTCGTTATGCGAAACGTCGCTCGTTAAGCGAGTCATTTTTTTTTTACAATTTGTTTTGCTCGTTATGCGAATAACTCGTTATGAGAGGTGCTCGTTAAGCGAGGTTCTACTGTACATTGTTTTAACTTTATTATTTCAACGAAAACGATATCAGACACTTAGACAAATCCCCAGGGAATTACTTTAGAAAACAGCTAACTACAAACAAAAGCTGACTAGTTGAGAAGGCAGATTTATGTGTATTTCTGGCCAAACCTAAAAGGAAAGAGAACACACAACGTGATAGCACACATTCAAGAGGGAGACACAATAGCAGACTATGTGCTACTGTAAACATAAAGATTAACAAATAAATTCTAACATAGATAACCGAACACACCCGTAATTTGAATCCGACAGAAGGTCGATGTAAATATCAGACAGGACTAATATAACGACTGTGACATACAAATTGGGCACCGTATATCACAGCCGGATCTTGCAATAAATAGTTTTGCGCTGTTTAAGCTAGCAGGTCTCTCTCACTCGCTCTCTCTCTCACTCTCACACTCTCTCTCTCTCACTCTCTCTCTCTTTCTCTCTCTCACTCTCTCCCACTCTCTCTCACTCTCTCTATATATCTCTCTGTCTCTTTCTATCTTTCTCTCTCTCTCTCTCTCTCTCTCTCTCTCTCTCTCTCTCTCTGTCTCTCTATCTTTCTCTCTCTCTCTCTCTCTCTCTCTCTCTCTCTCTCTCTCTCTCTCTCTCTCTCTCCCTGTGTGAGTGTGTGTTTCTGTAAGTAAAAGTTAAGGACCCTTTTCGACATCTTCAGGCGTAGTGTGTATATAATGCTAAAACTATTTTATTGACTATTTGGCAGTGGGCGGGTGATATGATCAAAATGATGCCAGTCGCCTTTTCTTCCCAGGACTTTACATTGTACCCATTTAAGCCTGAGACGACCTAAGAGTCAAGGTCATTTTTAAAAGGAAAAAAAAAAAACCCAGTCCAGCTCCGTTTAGATCCGAACCCACGACTTTTGGATATATACGAGGGTTTAGGGTAATAAAGACGGTGTCAGACATGGACGTAAGACTGGGGTATAAAAAAAACACATTTATATTCAAGCGTACTCATTGTGTGTGATAGCCATATTTGTATAGACCTATCTATCTATCTATCTATCTATCTATCTATCTATCTATCTATCTATCTATCTATCTATCTATCTATCTATCTATCTATCTATCTATCTATCTATCTATCTATCTATCTATCTATCTATCTATCTATCTATCTATCTATCTATCTATCTATCTATCTATCTATCTATCTATCTATCTATCTATCTATCTATCTATCTATCTATCTATCTATCTATCTATCTATCTATCTATCTATCTATCTATCTATCTATCTATCTATCTATCTATCTATCTATCTATCTATCTATCTGTCTGTCTGTCTGTCTGTCTGTCTGTCTGTCTGTCTGTCTGTCTGTCTGTCTGTCTGTCTGTCTGTCTGTCTGTCTGTCTGTCTGTCTGTCTGTCTGTCTGTCTGTCTGTCTGTCTGTCTGTCTGTCTGTCTGTCTGTCTGTCTGTCTGTCTGTCTGTCTGTCTGTCTGTCTGTCTGTCTGTCTGTCTGTCTGTCTGTCTGTCTGTCTGTCTGTCTGTCTGTCTGTCTGTCTGTCTATCTGTCTTCATGTACATCTATCTGTTCCCCATATTCTCTGATATTGTGTACTTAAACTGGGCACTTCTGCAATCATTTTGCGGTTGACACGTTATGTTATGGTTTCCAGCTAGGCTGTGATATTTGTGCTTTTCAGCCCAACACATCCCATTTTAGCAAACCCCAAATTATAAGCCTTTTACGTCATGCTTGTTGGGGCAGGGTAACGTTTTTTTTATTCAATTATCCCCCCCCCCCCCCCCCCCCCCAACGGGGCCCTTGAATGTCGACGGTGAACTGGACACTCACGTTATATTTAATTGGACATTAAAATGATGTACTTAAACTGGACATTGAAACTATGAACTTAAATTGAAATTATATACTTAAACTGGACATTGAAACTATGTACTTTAACTGGACATTGAAACTATGAACTGCTTGAACTGGACATTGAAACTATGAACTTAAACTAGACATTGAAACTATGAACTTAGACTGTACATTAAAACTATGAACTTAGACTGTACATTAAAACTATGAACTTAGACTGTACATTAAAACTATGAACTTAGACTGGATATTAAAACTATAAACTTAAACTGGACACTGAAACTATGAACTTAGCTGGACATTGAAACTACGTACTTAAACTGGATATTGAAGCTATATACTTAAACTGGACATTAAAACTATGTACTTAAACTAGACACCTCAGCTTTTTCCCTTTATTCCCACAGAAACTCGCCAACGAAAGAGACAAGTTACAGGGACCGGAGAGTGAAGCCTGTAAGTGATTTCTGCTGTTTTGTCTTCATTTGTATTTAGTCTGTTTTTCTCTGATGTTTGGAAGTCTATTTGTTCGCTGATAATGTTAAGTGTCCTTTGGCGTGTCACTTTGTCTGTATCTGTAGGTCTGTTTGTTCGCTGATAATGTTAAGTGTCCTTTGGCGTGTCACTTTGTCTGTATCTGTAGGTCTGTTTGTTCGCTGACAATGTTAAGTGTCCTTTGGTGTGTCACTTTGTTTGTATGGCCTGTTTGGTGGACTGTTTGTTCGCTGATAATTTTAAGTCTCCTTTGTCGTGTCACTTTGTCTGTATCTGTAGGCCTGTTTGGTGGTCTGTTTGTTCGCTGATAATGTTAAGTGTCCTTTGGCGTGTCACTTTGTCTGTATCTGTAGGTCTGTTTGTTCCCTGATAATGTTAAGTCTCCTTTGGTGTGTCACTTTGTCTGTATGGCCTGTTTGGTGGACTGTTTGTTCGCTGATAATGTTAAGCGTCCTTTGTCGTGTCACTTTGTCTGTATCTGTAGGTCTGTTTGGTGGTTTGTTTGTTCGCCGATAATGTTTAGTGTCCGTTGTCGTGTCACTTTGTCTGTATCTGTAGGTCTGTTTGTTTGTTTGTTTGTTCGCTGGTAATTTTAAGTGTCTTTTGGCGTGTCACTTTGTCTGTATCTGTAGGCCTCTTTGGTGGACTGTTTGTTCGCTGATAATGTTAAGCGTCCTTTGTCGTGTCACTTTGTCTGTATCTGCAGGTCTGTTTGTTCGCTGATAATGTTAAGTGTCCTTTGGCGTGTCACTTTGTCTGTATCTGCAGGTCTGTTTGTTCGCTGATAATGTTAAGTGTCCTTTGGCGTGTCACTTTGTCTGTATCTGCAGGTCTGTTTGTTCGCTGATAATGTTAAGTGTCCTTTGGTGTGTCACTTTGTCTGTATCTGTAGGTCTGTTTGTTCGCTGATAATGTTAAGTGTCCTTTGGTGTGTCACTTTGTCTGTATCTGTAGGTCTGTTTGTTTGTTCTCTGCTAATTTTAAGTGTCCTTTGTCGTGTCACTTTGTCTGTATCTGTAGGCCTATTTGGTGGTCTATGGTTTTTTTTTTTTTTTTTGGTCATTTGTGATTTTCTCTTTGTTTATGCGTGTTTTGTGTTTTTTTCCCCTACTTGTTTATATGTTTGTTGTGATTTTATACTTTTTTATACGCCTGTTGTGTTTTTCTACTTGTTTATATGCCTGTTGGGTTTTCTACTTGCTTATGTATCTGTTGCGTGTTTCTACTTGCTTTTATGTCTGTTGTGTTTTTTTTTTTTTTCAATTGTTTTTATATCTGTTAAGTTTTTCTACTTGTTATTATGTCTGTTGTGTTTTTCATTCTTGTTTATTTATTTGTTGCTTTTAAACTTGTTTATATGTCTGTTGCGTATTTGCTGTTTAACTCTCTTTATCTGCAATTTTTTCTCTGTCTAGTTTTTATATGTCAGTTGTGTATGTGTGTCATCATCATCATTATCATCATCATAGCTTCATAACATCGTGTATCGCTGTTTCATCAGTTGCTGTTGACTGTCTAATCAGTTTCTCCACCATGACCGGTCGTTATGAAAACATGTCCAATCAGCCACATTGTGTGTCCATGTCTGTCTTAGCCTGCGTTCTCTCGTCGTCTCCTTTATAGGGCTCTATAGTATCGTTTTTTGCAACCCCAGCATATCTTGTTATATGTCTGAACAATCGCATGTTTCGTCTCTTCACTGTTGCTAAAACCTGACATCAACATAAATCAGCTGGTCAAGAGCTTTTTGTCTCGGAACATGAATTACTTTGGCCATAGCCAGCTTCAGGGTGGACTGGACAAGACAGTAGCAGAGGGCACAGTACCGGCACAGAGGGGCCTGGGGCGACCAGCACCAAGATGGACACAAGACATACGAGACATTCTGGGCAGAAGCGTGCACGAACCGGGAGAGCTGGCGAGTTGATCACAAGAGCTTGTCTATCAGTGTCAACCAGCAAGCAGACACAACAAGGTGAAGAAGAGAAAGCTGGCAGAGGCAACCTTTCAGACATGTTGTGATAAGAGCGGCCTTTTATCAAAGGTCCTGCTACATGATAATGATGATGACTGATGTTAAAAGAGGTTCATAGGTACTAATGTATTGAATTAGGATTCTTTGTTACGTTTCGTCCGTATCAAAATCTGAGCGCGTCGGTCTGACATCTGACCCAGTTGTGCTGTGTCCTTCCATGCAGCAGCCTTTTCATTGTCTCCATGCCCAACGTACATAGTAGAAGTTGACTTGCATGTCTTCTTTCTTTGCCAAGCAGCCGATTTGGACATGCTTGCCCTAGTTTAATACCCATCTCCGACAGGTGGTTCATCAATACTGCCTCCTTTGTCTCAAAGTCTCTAGAAAGCTCTTTTAGTATGTCTGCCCTGTCCATACGTCAGCCTTCACAAACCACTGCAGACTCGGCCAGTCTGTCGGCTCTTTCATTTCACTTTCACCCTGGCATCTCCCGGTGTGTACACCCAAGACAGTTTCTTGAGGCAGGACTTTAGATGCTGTCAACCCATTCTAGTTGGAATTTGTCAGTTTGGATCTTTCATAAGCACGCTCATTGAGTTTAATACTGGTAGGGTTTGTACAATATGGCGTAAAAAGTCAGCTCCAGTGTCACTTTGAATATCTATTGATGTTTGGTGGTTCTCTTACAGCGGACAATGGCCACGACGACGAAGAAATTAAAATTCGGAGAGCTGTGTTAAAGAGACAGGAGCTGCTTGATCAAATTCAGGTCAGTCAGTCAATGCATTTATTTTTGCTTAGTGATGCGGTCGTACATGGATGTGAATCATGGACAATTTTACAGCCACAGGGTCGATATAATAGAAACAGAGCTGGATGAGACCTCGTTACAGATAAAGACCAGATTATGTTACTCATTGGCAAGAGCACATAAAGAAGATCTTTATATCTTAAGAAGAAGGAAGAGGAGGAAGAGGGTGAGGAAAAGAAGAAGAAGAAAAAGAAGAAGAAGAAGCAGAAGAAGAAGAAGAAGAAGAAGAAGAAGAAGAAGAAGAAGAAGAAGAAGAAGAAGAAGAAGAAGAAGAAGAAGAAGAAGAAGAAGAAGAAGAAGAAGAAGACAGGAGGACATTCATACTAGATTACATACATACATACATACATACATACATACATACATACATACATACATACATACATACATACATACATACATACATACATACATACATACATACATACATACATACATACATACATACATACATACATACATACATACATACATACATACATACATACATACATACATACATACATACATACATACATACATACATACATACATACATACATACATACATACATACATACATACATACATACATACATACATACATACATACACATACATACATACATACATACATACATACATACATACATACATACATACATACATACATACATACATACATACATACATACATACATACATACATACATACATACATACATACATACATACATACATACATACATACATACATACATACATACATACATACATACATACATACATACATACATACATACATACATACATACATACATACATACATACATACATACATACATACATACATACATACATACATACATACATACATACATACATACATACATACATACATACATACATACATACATACATACATACATACATACATACATACATACATACATACATACATACATACATACATACATACATACATACATACATACATACATACATACATACATACATACATACATACATACATACATACATACATACATACATACATACATACATACATACATACATACATACATACATACATACATACATACATACATACATACATACTACACATACATACATACATACATACATACATACATACATACATACATACATACATACATACATACATACATACATACATACATACATACATACATACATACATACATACATACATACATACATACATACATACATACATACATACATACATACATACATACATACATACATACATACATACATACATACATACATACATACATACATACATACATACATACATACATACATACATACATACATACATACATACATACATACATACATACATACATACATACATACATACATACATACATACATACATACATACATACATACATACATACATACATACATACATACATACATACATACATACATACATACATACATACATACATACATACATACATACATACATACATACATACATACATACATACATACATACATACATACATACATACATACATACATACATACATACATACATACATACATACATACATACATACATACATACATACATACATACATACATACATACATACATACATACATACATACATACATACATACATACATACATACATACATACATACATACATACATACATACATACATACATACATACATACATACATACATACATACATACATACATACATACATACATACATACATACATACATACATACATACATACATACATACATACATACATACATACATACATACATACATACATACATACATACATACATACAGACACAGACAGGCACACAGTAAGGTAAACAAATGATCATGGACGATGATATAATAGATATATTACATCATTTGCCCCAGACCATTTTACGCCTTCTTGTGCATTTAGTCTTTCTACTCTTTAATAAGCCCCAGTGATTCTGTTTCTTTTTTGCCACTTCCCTAAATGTTAATCAGTACTTTTCCTCTCCCAGAGGGCACAGCTCGCAGAGGAAAGTCCTCGAACCCGCACTCCCAGGAAGCGATTCTCAATCTCATCATTGTCCAGGCGCTCACTCCCTAACTTTGGCAGCAACAACCACTACCATTTTGGTTACTACGGCAACAACCGAGGTATTGTGTCTATCACACCTTATATAATTTTTTTTCCCTTATCTATCACATATTTTTAGAGTACAGGTGAGCACTATTGAAAATTTATACTTGTCTTAGTCGTGAAGTTGTTGGTCGAGGTTTGAACATCTCTGCAAATGGGTCACTCCATGACGGCTCTGTTCCAGTGTCAGTGAAATTCCTATTTAATGTTTGCCACTATCTCATATGCCAACTAGTGAAAAGTATGTGAGTCCTAGCAAAATCGTGATGTTCGCACAGGCACTGTAAAGTCACAAGGCAGCTGTCAGATGTGCCAACACTAACAGTCCCACATCAGAAATGCGGCTTAATATTGATGCAATCAGTCAGTTATGAAAGTCAGCATTGTGCATGGAATACATAATACGTATGCCTGATTTGGAACGTAATCCGCCACAGGCTTTTTTTTAGTTAACAAGACAAAGCGTCTAGGGCACACACAGACATACATATAAAACACTCTCCATGAAAGTAGTAGCTCACAGTGTCGCACTAAGTACTCAACTCAGTAGCTGGACGACGAAACCTTTAAACATCCGGTGCAGAAATGAGGAATTTGCATCAGCAAACTGGCTATAAATAAATAAATTTTCTGAGAATCTGCAGCGAGCCAGCGGTCTGCTGTTTCGAGACAGAAGTCTTCTGTAACTTTTCTATGAAACAGTAGTTGCCAAAAGTTTAACATCACCTAGAAAATAATAGAAATCTCCATATCATTACAGAGTCATCTGCTGCCATTATAGGACCCACTGAAGGCAATGACTAATACTAAATTTGAAATATTTAATTATAATGTCATATCAGTATTGTTGTATGGAACAGTGTTGGATAGGGCACACATTGAGATAAACCTCTGAAGATAATCTCTAGAATGTCTTTGCATTGGGACCCACAGGGGCATACATTTCAAGAAAGACCAAAAACATATGGAGGAAGGAGCTAAAGAGTAAAGTTAAAAAGATGTGGAGGAAATGGGGAGAGCTGCATGCGATAGCGAAGGATAGAACGACTTGTCGTGAGTTGGTTGAAGGCCTATGCTCTGTTGGGAGCTAGAAAGGCACAAGGGCAATGACTGCAAAATTAGCAGTTGATGCAATACTCCAGGACAGTGTAAAAATACAATTTATTTACTGTGTGATCTTAAACTTTCACCCATCACTGTAGAGTAGATACTCGGCAAAGGTAAAGGATACTTATCACAGGATTGGTTCTTGAGCATGTTCTTCACAGAACGTTGCTCTCATCAAGGCACACATAAAAGTCTCTCTGTATATAGCCAATTATCCAGCCCTGTGTGCTTCAATGTCTTGTACCCACGTTCACGCAGGTCTGCCTTTGCTTCGTTTTATATAACCTGCACCCTCCATCGCCGTTCTTTCCAGGCCTACCATGTTGTTTAAATCACCAAAATAACTCGGCTTTCGGGACAAGATGCTGTTTATGAGCCAGTTCTTCGCATTGCTCACATCATGTAGGATGTTAGTGTTTGTCATCTGTTTGGTCCCTTGTATTCCACGAGTTTTTCTGTATTAAACATAACTACAAATACTTGACATGGCTTCGATTTGAAATCTCACCCCCATTATTCGGCTTTCCCCAGGCATGGCCCAGGTGAAACATGTGATAGAGCATCAGTTTCGACCAGCACAACCGGCCGCTCTCCCAGGGCTCACTCACCTGCCGGCCATACAGCCCTTCCCTTCAGTCGTCTCTCCTGTTGCAACTGTACAGGTAGTTAGTGATTGTGTTGCCCTTCTGTCCCCAGTCACCAAGACTGCTTATAACGGTTGTATTCACCGCTCACACTTTCCATTGTCAAAAGACAAATGTATTATCGTATATCTTTTTATTTATTACTACTGTCTACTTTTATTACAAATTCGCCATTCAGTTTATGCCTGGAACATTGTGGGTGGAAAAGGGGGGGGGGGGGGGGGGGGGGGGGGGGGGTTGACTGCTCTCGGCATGTTTATGCCACTCAGACATAAACTGCAATGTGTGAAAGCTACCAGTTACTAGTATGATGATGCTAGCTGCGCAGGCAAACTCTTAAATGCGAAGCAATGAGGAGAAAAATGTCATGCGATACCCTAGCTAGTGTAATCATTACATTTACAGATGAAAATTGATCACACTTCCCGACTGGTATGTCCTGACCTCAACGTAACAAGACTTAGTAATGGGAAAGCACTACATAATGTATCAGCCCTTTTAAATATAATAACATTTTGTGATGGGGTAGCATTTTTTTTATGTAATAACATTTGTAAAATAAAAACGAAAATAATGTCCACAGATAAAACTGACTGTCACCCCAAAATAACAATAAATTATGAAGAAATTAAAAATCTCACAAACTTTGAATATCTAGGCTTTATAATAAATAGCTTGAAGAAGTTATGACAACGCACTAGTAAACTGGTTAAAGTAAAAATCGTGAGATCATATATTTTTCCTGTGGCAACTTACACTTGTGAGTCCTTGACTCTCACTCAATCACTAAGAAAAAAAAATTGGAGCTTTTGAATTGAAATGCTATAGACAAATTCTTAGAATACCATAGATCAAGAAGAGGAAAAACATTGAAATTCTAAACAAGTTGAACATCAAAGAGAACTGGCTCATAAACAGCATCCTGTACCGAAAGTTGAAGTATTTTTACCACATCAAGCGTCATTGTGGCTTGGAAAAGACGGTGATAGAGGATGTAGTTTATGGAAGGCCAGGCAGGGGTCGACCACCGCGAAGATGGATACAGGACATTGAAGATGCATTGGCATTTAAAGCGCATGGGCCAGAGAGCTGGCTAGGGAATGGGATACTTTCAGGCTTGCCATGAGGAGAGCGACGTTCTGTAAAGGACATGCTGATTGATGGTGACTTTGTAATTAAATAAACCAGTGTAATGAAGTGACACTTTGTAATGTAGTAACATTTCGTTATGTAGTAACACTGTGTCATATAACAACATGGTGTTATTTAACAACACTATGTCATCTTTCAACGCTCGGTTACTTATCAACAATTGAAATTCTATTGCCTTCTCTAATTACAGCCTTTTGCTATACTGCCACACCCCGTGACCCCAGAGGTCATGCCTCTACAGACCCTACAGCCGGCTTACACCTGGCCAGCACTGGCCATTAGGGACAGCAAGTCCAAGAAGGATACCATGTTCAACAAAGGAGGTGAGTTACTCCTGATCTAATGGCTGTTTGTGTTCAGTGTCATTATCCAAGCCAGCATACTGGAACTATGGGGCTTAGATACCTTGAGGTCCGGCACTCCACTAAAACATTTGTTGGGTGTTACTAACCTCCCCCCCCCCCCCCCCCCCCCCCCCCCCCCCCCCCCCACATAATATAAGGGGACTAAAACCCTAGGCCCCCTCCTCTTTTCCAACCATGTAGGCAAGTTGTATTTTTTTTTTGATTTCCCCCTCTAGGTTCTGATGTCCCATTATGGGGAACACCAGAATAGACCCCCTGCCTTCCCAACAAGCATGTCGTAAGAGTCGACAAATTGGGTGCCTCCTTTTAATCGTAGAGCTTGAGAGGCAAGGAACCAACAGCCTGCATACAATTAAGTTAGATCTAATAAACAAAAGTGCACACAAAACTTAGGTTCTGAAATAAGACTGAAGTACAGAGGTGGATGAACAACCAGAACTTTGTGCCAGAGTTTACAGTCAGTAGCTCTTGTGATTTTCAGACATTGGTACAAGAGTCACACTGTGGAAGAGATTAGGCATTGATATTCCCATTGGTAGCCAAACTTCATTATTATTATTATGCACTTGAACAATACTTAGGCCCCCTTAAGCTCCTTCCACCATAAAAGCTGCTGAGTACCCCCCTATCCCCCTCAAATCAATATTTTCTGTGTGTCAGCTCTCCTTCTGACCTCTAAACTAGGGTCAACAATGAAATCAGTTTTGTGTTTTGGATTAATTTTACTTATCAGTTCTGTTCATTTTTCATTCCAAGGTCTTAGACCATCCAGAATCTGCCTCTTCTAACGCCGATATTCCGGTTGTCACAACATTTATCAACGCCATTCCAGTTCTCACAAAGTTTTTTAATGTTATTCCAGTTCTCACAAAGTTTGTCAATGCTATTCCAGTTCTCACAAAGTTTGTCAATGCCATTCCAGTTCTCACAAAGTTTTTTAATGTTATTCCAGTTCTCACAAAGTTTGTCAATGCCATTCCAGTTCTCACAAAGTTTGTCAGCGCCATTCCAGTTCTCACAAAATTTGTCAATGCTATTCCAATTCTCACAAAATTTGTCAATGCCATTCCAGTTCTCATAAAGTTTGTCAATGCCATTCCAGTTCTCACAAAGTTTGTCAGCGCCATTCCAGTTCTCACAAAATTTGTCAATGCTATTCCAATTCTCACAAAATTTGTCAATGCCATTCCAGTTCTCATAAAGTTTGTCAATGCCATTCCAGTTCTCACAACATTTTTTAACGCCATTCCAGTTCTCACAAAGTTTGTCAATGCTATTCCAGTTCTCACAAAATTTGTCAATGCCATTCCAGTTCTCATAAAGTTTGTCAATGCCATTCCAGTTCTCACAACATTTTTTAACGCCATTCCAGTTCTCACAAAGTTTGTCAATGCTATTCCAGTTCTCACAAAGTTTGTCAATGCTTTTCCAGTTCTCACAAAGTTTGTCATTGCCATTTCAGTTCTCACAAAGTTTGTCAATGCTATTCCAGTTGTCAAAAATTTAACAATGCTGTTCCAGTTGTCACAAAGTTTATCAATGCTGTTCCAGTTGTCACAAAGTTTTTCAATGCTGTTCTAGTTGTCACATTATTTATCACTTGCTGTTCTAGCTGGCACATTATGCCTCACCGCTTCTCTTCCCGTCATGTGATTAAAGAACACTGATAGGGGACGGATTCGCAGTCGATTCTGCGGAAGATTCAAAAGGACAAATGTGGCAAGGATGGACACCATACATCAGCTGGTCAGCCTTACAGGGACTCATGTGGATGTACTGTCTGGGATATGCATGAGTGCCAGGAAAGGAAAGTGGATTTTCTGGCTACAAAAGTGATAGCTACAGGAACTCTCCTAGTGGACAAAGCAGACATTCTGAGGACCATTTATGAATGAATGCTTGTAGAAGACACCAGGTTAGATAAAATAACATGTGGGAGAATGTGTGAACGAGGAATTAGAAGGGGATCAGGCAAGGAGGGAGTAGGAAAGGAAGAGAATGGCCAGTTTATAATCAGTGTGCTACGAGAACAGTTATCGTCTTCACATTGAGACATTTTCTGCGGGAGACAGAGCATCTGTGGGTATGCCTGTTGTGCTATGATGTCGATTCTCAAATCATTAAATAACACTGGCTTTCTTATGAGACGAAAACTCAAAAACAACTTATCGCAAACAGCAAATTTTGGTCATGTAAGAGGGAAATTGAAAGATGTTGTGACCACTGGAAATGTTTGTGGAGATGATTAGTCAGTTTGTCAGTTAGTCAGTTAGTTAGTTAGTTAGTCAGTCAGTCAGTCAGTCAGTCATTCGGTCAGTTGGTCAGTCAGTAAGTCAGTTAGTTAGTTAGTTAGTTAGTTAGTTAGTTAGCTAGTTAGTTAGTTAGTTAGTTAGTTAGTTAGTTAGTTAGTTAGTTAGATAGTTAGTTAGTTAGTTAGTTAGTTAGTTAGTTAGTTAGTTAGTTAGTTAGTTAGTTAGTTAGTTAGTTAGTTAGTTAGTTAGTTAGTTAGTTAGTTAGTTAGTTAGTTAGTTGGTTGGTTAGTTAGTCAGTCAGTCAGTCAGTCAGTCAGTCAGTTAGTTAGTTAGTTAGTTAGTTAGTTAGTTAGTTAGTTAATTAGTTAGTTAGTTAGCTAGTTAGTTAGTTAGTTAGTCAGTCAGTTAGTTAGTTAGTCAGTTAGTTAGTTAGTTAGTTAGTTAGTTAGTTAGTTAGTTAGTTAGTTAGTTAGTTAGTTAGTTAGTTAGTTAGTTAGTTAGTTAGTTAGTTAGTTAGTTAGTTAGTTAGTTAGTTAGTTAGTTAGTTAGTTAGTTAGTCAGCAGTCAGTCAGTCAGTTAGTTAGTCAGTCAGTTAGTCAGTCAGTTAGTTAGTTAGTTAGTCAGTTGGTTAGTGAGTTAGTTAGTTAGTCAGTTAGTTAGTCAGTTAATTAGTTAGTTAGTTATTCAGTTAGTCAATCAGTTAGTCAGTTAGTCAGTCAGTTAGTTAGTCAGTCAGTTAGTCACTCAGTCAGTTAGTAAGTCAGTTAGTCAGTTAGTCAATTAGTTAGGTAATTAGTTAGTTAGTCAGTCAGTTAGTCCACTAGTTAGTTAGTCAGTCAGTAAGTCAGTTAGTCAGACAGTTAATCAGTCAGTCAGTTAGTCAATTAGTTAGGTAATTAGTTAGTTAGTCAGTCAGTTAGTCCACTAGTTAGTTAGTCAGTCAGTAAGTCAGTTAGTCAGACAGTTAATCAGTCAGTCAGTTAGTCGGCAGGTGATCCTCACTGCACATCGAACCATTCAGTCCATAAAATACTCAGATCCCCTTCTGTGTTGGTTTCTTTGTCTTTTTTGGCAGAGAGCTCGTTTCTGGCCACATCCTTTTAATACGTTATTTTTGCAGTCTGGTCATTGTTGCAGATTCACAGTCATCACTTGGTTCTCGCAAAACTCTCACATTCTGAATATTAGCCTGGTCCATGGCTTGTCCTCCCTTCAAAGAATAATTACCTGCGAGCCTATCTTCCTACTCATTTCATTGCAAGCCTGCATACCTTGACACCAATGTTTGTGCAGACAGAAAAAAAGACAAAGTGATAATATCAATGACAACTTTTTGTCATGGCAGGGAGAGATGTCAGTTTATGAGCTGATATGTGCTGTCTGAGATAGCAGGTTCTGAGGAGGCATGACTGAAAGTTGGCAAGGCATGCGATAATGATGATGTTTATTATTGATGTATAGTTGCCTATAATGTTATACCTGTTTATTTGTAGTTGAGTCTGTAATGTGTTGGCCCCCTCAGATTTCATGGACATGGAGATGTTTATCACTGATGTAAAGTTGCCAATAATGTTACACCTGTTTATATTTACTTCTAGTTCAGTCTGTAATGTGTTGGCTCCCTCAGATTTCATGGACATGGTGATGTTAACCACTAATGTATAGTTGCCTATAACGTTACACCTGTTTATACTTACTTCTAGTTGAGTCTGTATTGTGTTGGCCCCCTCAGATTTTATGGACATGATGATGCTGCAGAACGCCCAGATGCACCACATGGTCATGCAACAGATGATGCTCCACCAGTTGCCTGGAGGATCCCGTCCTTGGACTATCCCCATTGCAGAACCAGCAGCTCCTGTTGCCCTGGTAATGTTCTAGATTCTCTGTTCATTCTAGTTCAGTTCATTTCTTTTCTGTTCACATGAGATTAACCTGGTCAACCAATGCTCGATGAAGTTGGATGTTTCGGCCGAAAAGTGTAAATATCGCAGCTATGCTGTAGACGGGCACAACGCAATTACATTACTCAGACGAACGAAAAGATTTCCTTTCAGTTCAGTTCAAACTGTAATTTCCCCGCATTGGTTTCAGAGTCCCAGTGGGAAGAGGGTGGGTGGGGGGGGGGGGGGGGGGGGGGGGGGCGACAAAAATAAACGCACTGATTGGTTATATGGATGGAGAAAGATAAGAGCACTGACCTGATCTTTAATTTTTATAATCATGTGATAAACTCACTGATTGGTTATATGGATGGAGAAAGATAAGAGCACTGACCTGATCTTTAATTTTTATAATCATGTGGTATAGTGATAACCAAAGCTTTTCTGAATGGCACATGATGATGGGTATGGATTTCACATTTCTTTTTTTTTTCTTCTTATTATTATTATTCTCATTATCTTACCCTTTCTCATTGTCCGGTTGAGAAAACGACTTTCAACCAATTGAGACCAAACCCTTTGGAAGCTTTTTACTAATTGATTAGATGTTGCAGCTAAGTTTCTACTATATGAGGCAGCCATTCTAATTTAAATCTCTTTAGGAGCCTTGTACGTCATACATGATTTGTTTTAGTGTTACTTTTCTATCTGACATAAAGGCATTGGTGAGACTTTCTTCAGTTTCTGATACCTTAGTCTTGTGGTGAAAATTGTTTTACATGGCTTTTCTTTTTGATCTCTAGATGAGGCCAGCCCCGTCCATCTACCACCACCACATTGGTCAGCCCAACTACTCAATGCCTCCCATGGACTAGTAAGTGTTCAAAATGTGTTTCCTTTCATATATTCTTCAGGCAGACGTACCCCTGGAAGCATACAAAAACGGGGTGCTGTGGGGAAGGGGAACTGACAGTAGACAGACAGACAGACAGACAGACCGACCGACCGACCGACCGACCGACCGACCGACAGACAGACAGAGGCAGACAGGCAGACAGACAGACAGACAGACAGGCAGGCAGGCAGAGGCAGGCAGGCATGCAGACAGACACACACACAGACAGAAACTTACAAGTATGCAAAAATCTGGGACACGTGGGGGAGGGGGGGGGGGTGCAAATGCCAGAAACCCCGTTCAACTGTAAGGTTATATTGGGGCTCCCACTGGTTGTAAACTAACCTGAAGTCCAGTCAGGGCAGAGTGTACACGAAACTAGGAGGAAAGACCAGGCAGGCAGAATATTACAAACATGCAAACAATTGGAAAAGGGTGGGGGGGGGGAGTGAACTGATGCGCCAACAGCCAGACTGTCAGTCTGACCACTAATATATAGCTATGCTGGCATGTATACAGAATGGGGTGCTTATACAGATACAAAGGAAGTTTGATAGACAGAAAGACAGACATACATATCTACAAGAAAACAGACAGATAAATTACTATAAATGTTGAGTAAAACTGGAAGATCATTAGGTCACCACTGCATAAATACTGATATCTTTATACACTTTGTTTAGTAATAGTTTAGGTTGACAGTATGGGATAGACGTGTAGCAGGGGCTACAGGAGGTAGCAATTGATAATATTGTTTTTGTATGAGACGATGTAGGCTCTAACCTGATGGGGAAAGGGGGGGGGGTCGAATGAAGAAGTTGATCCTGCTGAGGATGATGATGATGATGATGGGGAGAGGAAGAAGACGAAGAAGAAGAAGAAGAAGATAATGAAAAAACGTTTGGGATAATAATGATGATGTTAATGGATGAACAATGTTATGTATAAACCAATAAAAAATTGTGAATTGACTACTTGAAGTGATTTATCAACATATTTACGACAGACAATATATCTGTTTATATTTCTTTCTTTCTGTTACCAGTCGGGGTGGTGGTGGTAACGGTCAGATGTACGGTCGCAGTAAGTACTTTCTGTTTTACTGTTTCATTGTTGTGTGTGATTATCTACTGCCGCTACTGTTTTGTTGTCGTCGTCGCTTTTGTGTGAGAATACAAATAACAGGAATAATGATGTTAAATGAAATGTCTGAGAAAGGTTACAGGAGTGACCAGAAGAGATAAAAAACCAGGAATGAGGTCATATAACAGAAACAAACATCGGCACACAATAGATCCTAACTTACATACAAGGAGAGCAAATGAAATGGTCTGCCTACTAAAAGATAGTATGGCCTAGTGACGCCACACAGGCATACACCAAAAAAAAAAGGAGGTGGATGAAGAGCACAAGGTAGATCAAGAACAAAAAATAAAGATTTATAACAGAAACTCTTCGGCAGCACGATGTGTTTGTGGACGAGGCTGCCCAAAGAGAAAGAAGCAGAACCTTGTATCTCCCTCGACACCCGAAGCGGTAACTGAGGAAGAATGGTGTGAGAGAGTGTGCGTACTTGGGTGTGTGTGGGTGTGTGTGTGTGGGTGTGTGTGTGTGGGTGTGTGTGTGGGTGTGTGTGTGTGGATGTGTGTGTTAGGATTGGCCAATGTTAACTTACTCTAAACGCTTTAGGCATACACAAACATAGTATTATTGTCTCATGTCTCATGTGTAAATATATGTACAAAGCATTTAAAGTAAACAAATATCTGCTTAATTTAGCTCTCGTTTTGCTCATCTATCTGTCTCCCTCTCTGTCTCCCTCTCTGTCCGACTCTCTCTCTCTCTCTCTCTCTCTCTCTCTCTCTCTCTCTCTCTCTCTCTCTCTCTCTCTCTCTCTTAGTTTTAAAATGCAAATACTTGTGACAGGAATACTTCATCTGTTTTTTTTTTGTATTCGCCCTTAAGAGGGCTGTTGGCACGTTGTGTTGTGATATACAGCCAGGCTGCGATATCTGCGCCTTTCTGCCAAACACTTCTAACCTCAGCAAACTCATAATGAATCGTTTTTAACGATAAGGCTTTTTACAAGTGGCTGGGGGGGGGGGGGGGGGTAGCAGCGTCCACCCACCCACCCCCCTTCCCCCATTGAGGTCCCCGAAATTAAAGGATGAAAGGCAGACAAAGAATAAGAAGACTGTATTACACGTGTTTTCAATATTCTAATGTTATATTCCAGTCCACATGTTCCGTTCTGCATACAAATGCATCATGTGATTCAGCCCATTCAATCGCAGAGAAGTACTTGATAAAAATGTATTGTGATTTTTTTTTTTTAAACATTGGAGCCATCGCACACCAAAAAAAAAAAAAAAAACACACACACACACAATTAAATGGAAGCATAAAATATGCAGTTTTCGTTCCTTAAAGAAAAAATTTTATTTCGTTTTGGTGAATATTTAATTCCGGAATTTTAACTAATAAAGTATTTAAAAATAATTTTAACGAAACTAAACATTTTTAAAAGCAAAAGGTGTTACTTTTGCAAACACATTTACATCAGGCATAAAAAGCAGTCAATTCAAAAACATTTTCTTTTGGTTGTTCTCGTTTCAGACTACAATAGCACAATTTATGATGATGGCTCCAATTATTACCACTACCACTAGGATGGCGGCAGAAGAGTTGCCTAGCAACGAGAAAGCTCCCGGTGAATGGCTGGACGATGATCACATGATGCTTTTGTTAACAATTTTGTTGTTGCGATCTGTGTATAGATCAACACGCTTTCAGACTTGTTCTTTCTTTGTTCATGTGTAGAGATGTATCATTAATAATTATAATATATTTACCGTTTTTTAAAGTTACCAGTGCAAATCTTGACTTATTAACATCTTTATTATTATTCTGCAATATGGCGAGCAGCAACGGCGATTATTATATATCTCACAAAAATGTCTTTTATTCTATTGATTTCCTTTGCTGTTTCGTTAATTTCGACTACCGATCCATTCTTTCACTCCAGCTACATATCCACTATGTGTTCACTTTGTTTTAACACCATAACTGTTTCTGGTTATTGCAAAATTAAACACATTTCCTGACTATATTGCCATAGACAAGTTTCTGTGGCTAAGTGGTTTGCCTCGCGCTTCGGAGGTCGTGAGTTCGTTCCGCCCACATCGTTCGGTTCACATTTTTTACTGAGTGCAGCTTTTACATGGACCTATAGGGATTCTTCCTGACAGGTATAACAATTTCCAGCATACTGAACCATGTCAGACAGGTTTAACCATGTCAAACAGGTTTAACCATGTCGGACAAGTTTTACTATTTTGGACTAGTTTAACCATATTGGAAAGGTTTAACCATATCAGACAGGTCATGAGAAGAAGGGATAGACCAAACCAGCATCTTGGTCCTCCATACCGGGGAAGGGGAAGGGGGTCAGACACGGGGTTAACAGACCATCACCATTGATAACATTGCTTGTGATTGCAACAGGATTGCAGTGAATAGATTTAACCTGTGGACAGAAGGAAACAAAATTAAAGCTGGGGATCAAAGGCGACTAGAAAAAGAAAAAGACTGAGATGGCTTGGTCATGTCAGCAGAATGCCTAGTGACACTTTTGCAAAGACAGCTCTCTAATAGACAGCAGATGTTTGAAAGGGGGGGGGGGGGGGGGGGTATGAGGACAATGTGGGGAAACCTAAGATGAAGAGCAGAAAAAAAAATGAAGGTGTTCAAAATGACTTCTGATAGCATAGGTAGTTAAGCAGCAGGCCCTCAGTGATGCACGTGTGAATGTATTATGTGCCAACAGCGTCATGACGAAGGTATAGATAGATCAGGATCGCTAGAGCTACGCTTCTGTCCCTTTGTTCAAGGCTCTCCAAGCGCGTCTTGTCGATCTCTGGGAAGAAACAGAAATTTCTGGTGGGGAAGCAGGAGTGGGGTGGACGCGGTATCATTAAGTCAATTCTTCTTCTTCTTGTTTTGTTCCCTGGCTGTTTTCTCCGGCGGAAGACCCTGCTTATTCTTCCATTTGACTCTGGCTTTGTGCCACATGCTTATTTGTGTGCAGTGTGTTGTTCCTTGCCTCTTGGGCAGATGAACTCCTTCAAAGGAAGCTTCCAATAAGTCGACCATTACGCTTTGCTTTTGGCAGCGATGGTGGGTCTATTCTCTCCCCCCCCCCCCGCGCACAATGGGGCCCCGGAAGCCACGGAAATGAATTTGATTGACTTGAATTATATTCTAGCTTCTTCTGGTCATTTTCATTGCAACAAGCATGTCGTAAGAGTCGACTAATTGGGGATTTCCTTCGAATTCGGAATGCATATGCCTCAGAGGCAAGGAACCAACAGTCTGTATACAAATAAATCCGTTTTGTAAAACGGATGTACACGCAGCACTCAGGTACTAGAGCAAGGCTAAAGTCCAGGGGTGGATGAACAACCAGAACTTTCTGTCGGAGTTTACAGGTGGTGAACGCGAAGAAGAAGCTTTACGTAATTTGACACTTCTTCATGTATGTCATATTTTTAGGAATAAGCAAACATGGTGGGAGGAAAGGGGGAGGGGTGGGGCGGGGTGGGGGAGGGGGCGGCACTTAATGTGCTTAACTCTTTCAGAACCAGAACAGTCACAATGTGTTAATCCTATCTGGTAAATCTCAACCATGACATACTGTATTCTTATAGCTAATTTATTTTGTCAGAGCCGGCCGTTAAAATCTGGCTTCAACATTGGTCACTTCCGCTTATGTGTCAGCACTAATTATTTTTTAAAGTAGTTTATATTTGTCCTACCGCTTGGAAATCTACTGTAGAACGGCTTGGCTTTAAAAGCTCTAAGTCCCCAGGGCGAAGCGGCTCTGTTTTAGATAATCCGCCATCTCAGTGTGACACAATCTGGCATTTTTTCTGCCTGTCTTTACATCGCTTTTTATTAATCTGTCCAGTTGTTACGGATTTCTTGATATTTATGTTGTGCATGACTTCATTTTTCATTAAACAATAATACAATAAGAGCTATGGCAGCACAGGGTTTAGTAGCTAGCCAGCAGATCCGAGTATTTTGGTTCGAATCCTTATCGAGCCGATTTTTATACAATCTCCCTGGCTCCCGGGTATGGGATGTTCACACGGTTATGTCAACCTTCAGTCAACCAGACACACACAAACAAAAAATAATAGAAGGCATGTTATCATGAAGGAGGAGCATGGGCCGACCAACACAAAGGTGGGCACAGGATATAAGTGACTCCGTGAATGTAAATATACATGAGGCGGGAGAGCTGGCGAGAGACGAAGTTTCTTTCAGGCACACTGTGATGAGAGCGACGTTTTGCAAAGGACCCGTTCCATCATGGTGATGATGTGGCAGAGATTGCCACTCCAGTATTGAACGTCACAGTCCTAGCAGACGTTGATCCCATAACCAAATGCATGGTCCCTCAGAGATTGACTGTTGTCTGCTGATATCTTCTTCTTCGTGGTCACCAGCTGTAAACTCTGGCGGAATGTTCTTGTTTTTCTTCCACTTCTGGACTTTAGTCCTGTTCCATAACCTGAGTGTTGTGTGTGCATCCGTTCGACATATCTGACTAATTCATATGCAGACTGTTGGTTACTTACCTCTCAGGCAGATGCACTCTGACTTTGAAGGAAGCTCCTAATTAGTCGACTCTTACGACATGCTTTTGGGTAGGCAGTGGTTCTAATCTTTTTTTCCCCCTATAACAGGGCCCCGGAACCCACACGGGGCCCCACTGATGTGATTATAGATCTATAGAAACCCGATAGGTTATCTGGCCACGCCGCTCGCCTTTACTTCCTAGTACAGGCTGGGTCGATCTTGAACGACCAGAATAATTGTACAATATTGTCTGGATGGAGATTGGACTGTTTAATGGGAGCGCTTGCAGGCATTCCACATGAGAATGTTTTATATGGGGGGGGGGGGGGGGGGGGGGGGAACCACTGATTTTGAAAACGAAAACACGTCAGTCTTTTTAAGAGACGTTTCGTGGGGACTGAATTAAATAGTATTTGCATTTTAATTAACTAATTAAAACAAACCACTGTTTTTATAAAGATACCAAAAAGAAATTAATTGAACATTGTTTGTGCCTTTTAAAAGAATGTTAGTTTCATATGCTTTTTGCATGAAGTACTAAATACAACATAACATGTAAAAATAAAGCTCAAGGAAGCAAACAGAACAGACACTCACAGATACAACCGAACGTTTCGACCAAAGTCTTTGTCAGCTTAGTACTAAATACAGCATATAGGGTGGAATGGTACCTGTCTGAAGCAAGTTAAAGAATTTAAATATATAGGAAGTATATTCACAGAAGAAGGGAGAACAGAGCTGGTAATGAAAAAAAAAAAGCTCTCCTCCGAACTGCGTCATAATATTATGGCGGCTATAAAATATCCAAAAATATCCGAACGGGGCTTAGTTGTATTAAAAATATGCCGGCTCCGTATAACGAAAAAAATGCTCTAACAGGGTCTCAGCGATATGTTACTTGCGGACCTGTTTCTGTGACTGTGCCTCACCGCCGACCGTATTCCCCGCGCCGCTACGAGGGCTAAACTAGATGGCTGGGACTCACGAGCAGCAGCTACTGCATCTCCTGCAACTTCCTCCTACTAATTTGCTCGTGAGTCCCAGGCACCTAGTTTATCCCCCCATCCGCGCTGCGCGTAGCGGCGCGGGGATACGCTCGGCGGTAAGTTTAATCGCGTTTTGCGCATGCCGAAAAGTGTGAGGATACAGGTCGGCAGGTCTGACATCTACCGCTGCTAAATCCTCAATCGGACGAACAGTATTGATAATCTGCGTGGGAGCGCGTGGTCTACCCGCCATATCGCTTTCATCGTCTGTAATGTCTCTAAATTGTCAACAGTCGGTATTTATCGTCTGCTACTACAGTGTGCAATGTTGATATTGTCAAGTAATCCTAGATTTGCCGCGATTTGTTCCTTGGCAGAAAGTCCGTATTTTAGATATGCCTGAGTCCCGTTCGGATATTTTTGAATATTTTATGGCCGCCATAATATTATGACGCTGTTCGGAGGAGAGCCAAAAAAAAAAAAAAAAAAAGATGCAAGCGAGCCAGTGCACTTATTTACCAACTGACTCCGTTATTTAGACGTCCAAATATAAACAGCATACTTATACCAGCACTCTGCTAGCAGTGCCAGATTTGGACATTATCAAAAGCTATGCTACGTAAAAAAAAAAAATATCATGTGAAATGAGATCCCCGGAAAAAGCTGCTAACTTACCACCCAAGACAAAGTTGGAAGTGATATTATCAGACAGACAGTAGGAACAACATCATGCAACAAACTCATTAACAAACAGATCAAATAGTTTGATAGTCAGAACAACAACACATCAAAAGATCTGAAGTGAAAGCTAGAGCCCACCCTAGGCAAATATGGATTAATGGCATTAAAGAGTTTCTTCATCGACACGGAATGACAATAGCCATTGCTGGCCATCAAATAATGGATCACAAGCTGTTCCTCCCCACGTCGCTTAAAGACAGAAGTGGAAATTGATGATGATGATGACTAAATACAACACAAAATCAGCGAGCAAGACAACAGAGTTTGAAACAACTAAGGTCGACACGAAAGCATGCTCC